CGTCTTGATGATCAGAACCTGAGATTAAACCTTTGACAACTCTGATTTAGGACCGGTTTTGCATATAGACACACATAGACACACACGCACACACTCGAACAAAAGTAACAGGACCAATATAAAAGATAATTAACCAAACCACTCCTAATCAACCTATGTAGCTTTTTAATTTTCTTTTGGCTTAATTTAGTCTATATAAGAAGTAAGATAGAGCCGGATAGTGTTCTTGCCCTCGTGTTAATTTGAGACTTTTAAAAGAATCACACCCAGCTCTGATGATGTCCATCATTTGATGGAAAAAGCTCAGCACGTTTTCACCCGAAACGAGGGAGGAAGTCTCGTGGACTGCGTCAACATGAATATCGTATAAAAGCCAAACGACTGCAGTGAACGAGATTTATCCGTCCTCATCTAGCGCGATCGACCAACGAATCTATTCTTTATTCAATTGTATACGGAATGAAAGTTCCCCCAAAAATTTTATTTCAGTTAATTCATCGAAACCCAGTTTTTCTTCGTATCTACTATTATTTGATACAAGTTATAATCTAAGATACTAAGAATATATCATACTATAATATGTCATTCTCTGCTTTGCCTTACTTTATTCTGCAAATAATAAAATATCATATGCTTTACTGATATTAAATATAATAATTTTTCTTAATATACTGTTTTATATATACTGGTATGTAAATTTTTGTATTTGATTAGAGTTTCGAGACTACCAGAAAATTAGTAATATGAGAGATATTCACCCTATTTCGTTTAAGGTGATGAAGGCTGCTGATAAGACCGATTCGAGGTCGAAACTGCAGTCCACCCTGGATGAGAACAACTTTTGGGAAAACAAGGCTATGTGAAATTCACTGGAAACGTCAGCTCTACTTATATCATTGTGGAAAAATTCTAATACCAGTCCTTCATCACCTTAACCAAATAGGGTGAATATCTCTCATATTACTGGTATATACATTTTGTATATATAAATATAGTGGTATATCTTGTAAGGCCAAAATATTTTATAATAAATACAAAGAAATTATAGTTGTATATATTTTTCAGAATATAAATAAATAAATATATATATATATTCTAATTTTACTCTCTTATGAGTAGGCAGAATATCAGATCAACCTCAAAGGTGAATTGGCGCTTGCCGAAATCTCTGCCACTTTAACCAATCACCGCCTTCCTAACCTGAGATCAAATTCAGAACTTGGGAATTATAGCGCTTCAGGATCTACAATGAGCCCCATAAACGTGGCTCCTCAGCCTTGCGTAAATCATGAAGCTGGATTCAGCCCGACTGCCCTAAGTAGTCGACATCGAGCAAGATATAGTCCACGCTGTGAACGCAGCGCTATCAGCGAGGATCGCGATCTTCACCAACGCATCACACAGCTGAGCCTAATGCCTCCACAACGACCAATGAGCCCCAGTGGGCTCTCATCACTGGCCTCTTCAATGCTCAGACTTGACGAGCTTTCAGCTGTGTAAGCCGAATATTTATGTGTATTTTATAACTTGATATGGACTCAGAAATTCGCTTATGTACAACAAATAGTCCGTGTTTCTCTGTCTGTCTATCAGTCAATAAATCTCGAATGTACTCAGAATGAATATACGTAATACCATCGATGGTAATGAAAAATACAAAATAAAATATGTAGTAAAAGAGAGACCTGGCTTAATTTGAAAGTTCCGCCTGCCCTATGCACCAGTGGCACCTGTGGTAATGTGGTATATTGGAAAAGTTGAAACGTATAGGCTATATTACCAAGGCTCGTTTCCTGTTGTAGATTCTAACGAGACTGAGGCGACGTCAAAAGTGGGGTACACCCTAGTGAGAATAACTTTTGGGCAAAAATAATAACTAAAATTCGACGATATCGTGAAACCTCTATTAATGATTATGGGGAAATTCTCTTGTCAATCCTTCACCACCTTTTGCGATCTATGGTTATAAAACACTTATTCGTATTCTTCTGATAGTCTAGAAGCATTCTTGCTATGAAAATGTATGCCCTGTTGCATGTCAATTTACCCACTTACCCACTTTTTTTCGAGTAGCTGTCTTAACATGAATTCTGCATTGCCACTAAAGGATGACCTGAAGAATACGAGGCTCTGAATGAATATAAGATGAATACATAATGAGGCTTAAAACCATTCACTAGCTTGCTTTCTTACGATTAATTTGCAAATTGTTTTATTTGTCATCTTAACAAAGAAATATTATTCCATGAGCTGAGGATATTGTCTATAATAGTTCTTCTCGGCTAGGTTAAACATGTCTAAAATACTTGTAAATAAAGTAAAAAGTATGCGCATGTGATGTTCTGCATTTCTGGCCGAAATACACTTATGAGTTAATAAATCCTTAGAATTTATTAATCCATATTCACTTTTATACTTCTGAATTTCACAGTGACACCGGGCCTTCAGGACTTTTGCCAAGTCGAGGAAGTCGGGACTCACTATCATACTTTGGTGGCTCTTTGGCTGGCGGCCACACCCATAACTCCAGTCTTGATCGTTCGAGTCTACGTCGCCTTCATCGCGGACGCTCTGGGGGCCCTATGGGTTCAGTCGTTGCGACTGCATCTGGAGGTTCTCCGGGCCCATATACCAGTAGCGTCATAGCTAGCGCCGAGATTTCGGAACTCGATGTCGGTCTGCGTTGGGGCAGCGCGCTGGCTACAGAACGTGAGTCTGAGCAAGCTATGGCCGAACTGATGCCTGTTGACGAGCGTCTACTGGACCCCGAGGAGCGGAGTTCTAGCCAAACTGCTGCTAGTCTGCCGCGACGATCTAAAGCAACCGGTAAGGCAGTTGCTTCTTGGCACTCTGGTCATCTTCCAGCTTTAAGATTAAATACATATTTTATTTGCACTTATGGTCATAGTCAAGTCGTAAGCTCGGTTTGGCCTTGTGCCATTTCCAGACGGTGTGCATACTACATTGGTTAGAAGATGATCAAACTGAAGTGACTACTCAGCCTAAAAGTGGCTTCCACATTGCCTCCAGGCTACTCAGGAACAAACAAATTACGTATAGCCTTACAATATTTATCACTAAAATAAGACTTTCCGTCGCATTCGATTGTTCAAGAGTATATGAATTCTAATTGTTTAATTTTATCTTACTGAAATGATTCGTTTTTACGATGCCATTGAATTTTACTAAGCCCTACCTTCCTAAAAGATACCACTCCACCATGCTATCACTTGTGTCACTGGGTCGCTATATGGATTCGATTTTCAAGGCAGGCTAGACTTCTAGCATACCACATTTATTCATAAAGTCACATCTGCAGTCTAATATGGGAAAAAATGTTTTTTTAGAAAGCAAGGATATGTGCGATTCAATGGCATCGAGAGTCCTACTCATTTAATTGTTGTCAATCTGAACTATCAATTCTTACATCATACTAAGCGAACATAGGTGATTCAAGCGTTATTGATAATTTCAGAACCAATTTATCATTTATTTCAGTTTCCGTCACTTTAAAAGTTGATTTGCTAAACTAAATATTGTCTCTTTAACAAGGATTAATTTGGATAAATACAAATCAATTAATCTGTCTGTACATTTTTTCTAATATTTTATACATTTTATTCCACCACATTAATGTCGCCCTCAGCTCCGGCTTTCTTAAACTGCCTTACTGACGCCTACTTCAGTCCGCTCGTTGGAGTTGCTCGTTTTGCCTGCCAACTTTCTGGACAAGCCGGCATTCCCCTATGCTTACCACCGGGTCACGAGTCGGCTCTACAAACGGTATTCACCGGCATAGTTGCAAGTGGGCAGGATGCTTTAAACTTCCCAGAAGGTTTTGCAAACACAGCCATTGGTGGTGGAGCAGCTGCAGCCGCCTGGTATCTCGGTGGCTGCCTTCTGTCCGATGGGCCTGGGGTAGCCTTAGGAGCCGGACCTGGTGGCTGGCTATGGCTATATCTGACTGACCTGGGGCCCGAACGAGTGGGTTCAGTGATCGAGTGTGTGGTGCGAAACCGAGCCGGGAAGGCACGCACCCAGGCTAGACTCCTACTTGCAGGTACTTTATCACAACGATGGGAGGATTGTGTGATTCATGTAGCTTACTTTCTCTTTCTAACACTTCTATCTGCACGTTAAGTGTCAAATTTTATAGTATTTATTTCTGGAAAGCTTGTCCCTGATATCTTTTCATGAATACAGGATGGCTGTTAGCTACCTGTCTGGCAAATAAAACGGATTTTTATATTTTAAAAATTGGGACAAAAACATTAAATATTCATTTAGAGTTAGCTTCATTGCAATCAGTTTAACTTAAATAACTATTGCGTCAATTCTCGATGGTATACTGAGCTAAAGGCCTGATATGAAGACCAGGATGGTTCAGCCTTTGTATGGTCCTGATCTCCTTTCGCTGTATAGAAGTTGTCTGACCTTATTTTTGTAACTTGTCCATATTGGCAGGAAGACCTAGAGGAACACACTTTGTCCTGAGTTCATACTACGCATGAGGCTATTCAACTCATGTAGAGCAATCACATTTGTGGGTCGGCAGGCAAGAGACTGGTGCATAAGAAAGTCCTAGACTTGGCATTAGAGATAGAAGTGCGATAGAAACGGTGGTGACGATTGCCAGATGGCTAATAGTAGATAAGTTTGATCATGGACATGGTCCGTTAAGTAAAGGCTTGACTACGAGATTTACTCAGTGCACATACCGCACAACGATAAGGGAATTTTCAGCGTCAAGTTAAGTTGTCATGACAATTGAGAATCCAGACTTTAGGGGCTTGCTCAATGAGGCTGGTGTATACGTGTTGTCAAAGGCTTGAGACAGAGTGTAGAACATAGCGCCTTGAGTAGCACGAATACGGTGGCAGCGATGGAGTGAAATCACTGAAACAGGCAGATAAGAGAAGGATCCTACGGAGCAAGAGGGAGACTCTGATGGGAGCCGAAGGGAGAGGATTGCGAATCAACACTCCCGGTACAGTGGGATGGATGTGGAAACTAGTGGGGAATGTGAATAGGTTTCAAGTAGGCTTAGATAAACAAGTAAGAAATTGTGATATTGAAAGAATGATACGAGGATATAGGATATGTGAAAACCCCAGGACAGAATGAGAGCTACCACAACTGTTTAGCAGACAATTGGTCAAAGGATCGACTTCGCTTGTCTCTTTGACGAGTTGTAGTGTCATGCTAGGAATGGCAGGGCTCACTGACAATGCCGACTACTATGCCGGCGAAACGTCTGGGAATGTACCAAGTTCACGGTGCGACTCTGGAAACTATCATGCACACTACGGACTCCGGACAAGGTGCACTCCTCTAGGTCTTCTAGCCAATATGACCAATTTGCGAAAATAAGGTCAAGCAACTTCTAAAGGCCTGATAGTTGAATTTTCCTTCAAGGATATGAGTAGGCCTAATGAAGTCAATAGGTATACTTGTCTAAGGTGAAATGCAGTTTGAGCAACGCCTGGGTTTTACCAGAATTATTCACTTGAAGTAAACATGGATAGTGCAGAGTACCTCTTTGGCAAGCCGAGCAGTCTACTCAATAATACCATTGTGAATTTGATATAAAAAAGGCGTGGTTTACCCCGAAATTCGCATCTGCCTACTTGCATCAGTAGCTGAGCAACATAGTGCTAAATGAACTAGCTGGGTTCAATAGCTTTTGGAAGCCGAAACTTGGCATTGCGAGAAAATATAACCTATACTCTATCATTATATTATGTGATTT